AGATTTTCTAACTTCTTCTGGGAGAATTACTGGCCATGCATAACTTATCAGTTTAACAACATTACTCGCTAGTAAAAATGGTATACTTATTGTACTTTGCGTTTTTGTGAATAAGAAAGCACATAAAAGCACAGCTATACTATAACTAAACATGAAAGTGGCAGTGAACAATAACCCTTGGTGAATTTATTAAGTTTGATCGTCATTTGTTTCAAAAATAATAATTCCATTTTGATTTACGTTCCGTGGAAAAGCACCCAAACAAGCCTTAAGTCCCCTTAATGTTACTTTTCAGCATCATCAAATATACGAGCAAAATCGGCATCGGATCGGCATTCAGAATTTCTCCCTTGTTGCCTTTCGTCGCTCTAGATGACGCTCTCTCTCCTCCTCCGACACATACTCTTTCTTTGACAGTATTTGAGTCAAAGGTATTACAAACAAAGCCTCAACGTTAATGGTTGACCGTTATCCATTGCAATCCTCCTGCGTCTTCACTTTGACGCTTCTGTACTGCACTGATGCCGAGTTTCCAATACTGACAAAGACGTCAAAGCGGTACCAAGTACCCGGGTTTAACCCTGTCACATTGTAGGCCACCACCTGACGTTTGGGGTCTTGCGAACTGTGTGACGTACAGAGCTGACGATCATTTGTCGGACGCTCGGCCGCGTTCATACAACTGTCCTTCCGAGAGTCCTGGCCCTTTTTATTGAGTGCCTTCTTGTAGAGGCAATAATTCTGTTCCACATCCGTTCCCATCCAAGCGAGGGTCACTTTCGAGCACGTCGTCAGCTTTTCAAAGACATGGATTTTGGTTTTCTTTGGCAGAGTCAGTTTTGACCGTGTGGGTGTGGAGGTAAGGTAGACAGTCACGTATGATTTCTTTCTCCTTTTACCAGGGAATGTCATGAGGTAGGTACCTGGCTTGGCGTTGTGAATCACGTGGGATTTCCATCGCCTTACAATTGTCTTAGATTTGATTTTCTTACCTTTGTAGGTAATTTCAAACGGTGTTTTCCCCGCACAGGGGATCACTTCAACGCCAAGTTTTGGTACCGTTCTTTTCAATTTGAAGATAACCCCCTTCTTTTTCTTAAGATTAACTGTTTTTGTTTCCCCAACTTTCATTCGGATATTCGGGTTTCTTTTCTTGCCTCCGATTTTCACCGAGGTCCCTCGATAGGCTGATGCTCTGTTGGAGTCTTTGTCTATGACAAACACGTCTACAAAGTACTTTTTCGCACGTCTGGCTTTAGCATAAGTGAACGACGTTTTATTGCCAACACACTGGTGGAATATCATCTTTGGCGACTCTTTTTTGATTGGTTTGGCTTTGCGTCGTAACTCTCGCTGCTTCTGCCGCTGTCCAGGAAACCCCCAGTTTGTGAACTTTGGACGCTTATCTCCATGGAGGTAGGCCAGAGCGCCGCAGTGACTTTTAAAGTTTCTAAGGCGAGAGATGACGATGCAGTATTCCACAGAACGTGACCATTGTTGGTTGGCTGAGTTACCGTGTTGCCAGTTGACCACAATGTTTCTTTTCCTCGTCTCAGCGCGCAATGCATTGTCGTTCGATAGAGCTGGGTAGAAGCCGGTGAGCAGCGGGTTGGGGTTGGCTGTGACAAGGATCTTGACGTAAGAGTCGCTCTTCAGTGAGGAGATGACTACAATATAGGCGCCTGCCTCGGCGTCCATCTGGTGGTACGTGGACCGGTTGTCGCCCTTGAAGTGATGAAGGTGTTGGGCTACGTTGGCCTCCCCTCGAAGCTGCTGGCCCTCCCAGTTCCCTGTCAGGACAGACGTGTGTGAAAGAGAGTCAAATACTGTGTATCGAACGCAGGTCTTTACAGTCATAACCAGTATCAAGAATAACAGATATTTATCCTTCTTTCTTTCTTTCTTTCTTTCTTTCTTTCTTTCTTTCTTTCTTTCTTTCTTTCTTTCTTTGATCATACATTAATTAACTTTTATTATTCCTTTCTTTCTTTCTTTCTTTAGGGGGGGGGGGGGGTGTCTTTTAAAAGGCATGATAGGGCAACTTCTAACAAAATGAACTTTGAACTCTGGAGTCTAATTCTCTAACGTCAGAGCGCTGAAGGAAACAACTATAAAAAAAAAAATATATAATTTATAGACAGCCTCTTGTGGAAACGGTGATCAAGGTAAAGAGAACGTATATCATGAACTTTATGGTGATCAGAGATATATCAAATTTTGAACAGCAGTAGCTTATTTGGCTACTGATCATGAAAGTAAACTCAGGATAATAAATAAAGATAAGACTGTCTTACTTTTAACGCAGGTTGACATTACAGAGATGCGTGTTCTTTAAATGTACGAGAAACTTTGTGTACTGCAGCTTAGCGTCTTCTGTGCAGTTTATGAAGCATTTTAGCTTACCTCACCACTTCGTTCATTATAAATGATACCAATATGGATACATATATCTCAAAATATAAAAGTTGACAAGACATCTACGAAGATTAACATTTTGTAAAGGACAGACCCAGCTGAACTTGTTAAGTCACACTTCATCTCAATGTAAATTTGCATTGCTAAAGGATAAGCATGTAATAAAAGCTGCATATTCGTATGCATATAAGGATACACATTACTTGAATAATCGATAAGAGTAGGCTTCGGCCGCCACCCGGGCAAATTAAAAATTTCCTACCAACGAAAAAGTATTAGGTGTGTCCCGCGCGCTCATATGACCTTATGCAGTTGCGAGCGCCGTAAACCCTATACTAAACAAACAAAAAACAAACATTACTTGAATTACATAAGCACACACGTTTTACCTCTTCTCCTCTTCCGGTCTGGCTTGAGGTAGAGGTCCCAGGAGACTTCAGAAGCACACGGCGTTATCGTGATGAGCATAGAGCCGTTCTGAGCGATCGTGAATGTGAAGCTGGGGACACATAGCAGAAAAAGTGAGTTTTCATTGAAGAACTTCAAACAATTCCTTTTTTGATAACGTTAGTTTTGATGTTATGCCATGCAAATATGCCTTCTTGCACTTGATTGTTTTAAAGTTTTCGAGGCCGGGTGGGGGGGGGGGGGGGGTTAGGAGGAGGGGGTTCTTCTGTTTTCCCCTCCCTCTCCCTCGCAGCAGTGTCCCTTTTAGAGTTGGACGTTAAACTAAAGGATTCAGTTTTACAATTAAACTACTACGTTGTAAGTGGTATTATCTTGAATCAAACACAACCCTATTGAAAATAGTATATTTTGGTTACATAGATAGCGCTAAGCTGGCATACCTTGAAGCTTTATATTATTGACAATGTTGTACATGTTGGGATAATAAGAGCCTGTTTACTGAGAGTTGTCGAATACTGGCCATATGTCCTAAATAAGCATGCCATGATAACAGTAATACTTACATATTACATTTCAAACCCCACATTTTTAACACCCGTCAAGTATCATTTAAATAATGAATTATGCTATTACCAAGGTGGTTACTGGGTAACCATACCGGATAAAATTTAAAATTTCAATATCTTTTGTAATGTACGGAAATTTCAGAACCCCCTTGGAATCCAAACAGCCTTCCAAATTCATAAACAACTGTACCATCCCAGCCAGCTTGAAAATCTCTGTATTTGATATAATTGTTCAAAGTGATAAGTACACATCCGAAGCGCTCCTCGATAAAAGCTGCGGTAAACGTAAAATAAGAAGAAAAAAATAACCCAGAAAAACATATAGAAAAATGATAAACACTGTCCAACATACAACAGAATCAAGAACTAAGCTTAAAGAACGATTGAATAACAATAATGATCAATACATCAGTATAATATGGCAAAGCTGTATTACTGCTTATTTTGCCACCATCGATATTGATGAGCAGCCGAAGATAATGTCAAAAAGGGTGGGAAAGAAAGAGCAAATATGAATGCAACAGTAAAACGGTATATTACTTCTTTATTATTATTTTAAAATTTGACATAAGAAATGCTGATTTATTATGAGACCAGTATGAAGAGACATGAGTAATGGGCGTTCAAAACATCCGATCAATGCCCGTCATATCGGCATTTTCTGCGGTCGGTAAAGCCAGGTAGCAGGGGAAATAATCAGACAGGAAACCATGGATTTACCTCCCACAAAGGTCCGAAAATAGCAACTGTGTAGGGTGACGACATTGGCGCATAATTGTCTGTCTTTCAAGCTCTTACAAAGAAAGGTCAGCTTCGCATGGTGATGCCGACCAAAGGTTACAATAGTGGAATAATGGGGATACCCAGACAAAACAGAGCTTAGTGTAATGCACGCACGGCGTTGATGATTCATGCCCAACGGGTCGTTTCATCCTCCGTAATTCTGGGTATTATCGCCTGAGGCCCAAAGGAGCGTGAGCGGGAGGAATAGATTGCTGTGAGTCAGTAACCTAGGATATGCATGCAATTCTCGCAAAGATGAGCCGGTCATAGATCCTTCGTCATAATGATCAATTTCGAGATTGAAATATTTTCGAATTCAATTCTCTCCGTTACCCCGTTGTTTTTACAATGACGCTGATTGTTTGTCATAATTTTGATGTTTTATCTGGGTTTTTTTTGGTTGTTTTTTTTTTTTTGGGGGGGGGGGTTCTTTTGAGTCTCCTTTTATTTCTGGTACTGTTTCAATTGTACACGTTTTTATTTTATTTTTTATCTGTCGAGCTTTCCTTTATAAATCTCTCCACTGAAACTGCCTTTATCTATGAGGAATAGGCCATGGTTAATGTCACTACTGCTTTTCCTGTCTACTTATTTTCTGTTGCTGTTATTGTTCTTATTGTCAATGTGTTGTTGTTGTTGCTGCTGCTACTGCTGCTGCTGTTTTGTTGTTTTTCTTTCTTTGTTTTTCTTCTTCTCCTTCATCATCATCATCATCATCATCATAATCATCATCATCATCATCATCATCATCATCATCATCATCATCATCATCATCAT